TAACTTTTTTTTTTTTTTTTAAGATTTTATTTATTTATTTGACAGAGAGAGAGATCACAAGTAGGCAGAGAGGCAGTCAGAGAGAGAGGAGGAAGCAGGCTCCCTGCTGAGCAGAGAGCCGGATGCGGGGCTTGATCCTAGGACCCTGGGATCATGACCTGAGCTGAAGGCAGAAGCTTTAACCCACTGAGCCACCCAGGTGCCCCAGAACATGTAACTCTTGATCTTAGGGTCCTGAGTTCAAGCCCCACGTTGGGCATAGAACTTACTTAAAAAAAAAAAAAGTCAGTAAGTCAGTCAGAGAAAGACAATTATCATATGATCTCCCTCATATAAGGAAGTTGAGAGGCAACGTGGGGGGCTTAGGGGTTAGGAAAAGAATAAATGAAACAAGATGGGATCCGGAGGGAGACAAACCCTAAGAGACTCTTAATCTCACAAAACAAACTGAGTGTTGCCGGTGGGGGAGACGGGTAGGGAGAGGGTGGTGGGCTTATGGATGCTGGGGAAGGTATGTGCTATGAAGTGTGTTTTAAACCTGGCGATTCACAGACCTGTACCCCTGGGACTAGTAATACATTATATGTTAATAAAAAATAAAAAATTTAAAAAGAAGTCAGATACTCACAAATGCTAACCCTATCTTAAAATAAGTGACTACTTCACAGTTACCAGGTGATAATTAAAATTGGCATTCCAGGATTTTGTAGCACTAAAGTTTTTATTGAAATATGTGATCTGATCTCAAACTAGCTGCAGAAAACCTGGGAGTTATTAATACAGTGTATTATGTGCACTGTATTAATGTGCAAACTGTATCTGTGCAAACAGGTATCATTGCATTGACATTATTAAAGTAAACATAGACACATTTAATATAGATCAGAAGTTGCATTTTAATGCTCATAAGCCCAACAGTTCACAATTCGAATTAACACTAATTTTAAATGGTTGGATGAAATAACCACTGTCCTTGGGGCAGGAGAGTGCTTATCACTGCAGTTATATTACTATTCCTTCTCTCATCTTTTTCTTTCCCTTTATTTAAAACCCAACGGTACTTTTGGTATAAAAGAAAATAGGTTCAAGAGTTTACTGAAAGAAAAACTTTATCTTCATTCCCATTACAATCTCGAGTTTTTGTAGAATGTCCTGATCTCTCCATCTGAACCTTCTAGCGCTGTACCCTAAATACAGTCTAATTCGATTCCCTTCATGGGTATGACATAAAGAGTCAGAAAAAGCGTTACTTGACACATTTTTTTATACATAGAGTCTCATAAGACATTTTAATAGGTGCGAGAAGAACAAAAGTACAAGGCAGCATACTTTCTTAGCCCTTTGGGTCATTTACATAAATCCTTTCATAATATTCCAAGATAAAAATGCATTATAATTATGTACAAGAATATAAATGCAGTCTGCAACATTTCTATTTCGGTGGGCAGGAAAGTATTGGAAATTATGTATGTACTAAATTAAAGCATCAGCACTAGGTGTCAGTAGACCACAACATTGGAGAGGGCCTCAATTTGGGCATTGGTCAAATAGCAATAAATGGACATATGTCTTTCACAGTAACACCTCTTGCTGAGCATTTTCTCCTTCAAATACTAATTTTCAGCCTGACCTTACTAAGTGTGCTCCACAAATTCTATGGATATTAATAGGTATCATGTTGAAGGGAGGGGTATAGTCAAGTAAATTTGAAATAATAAGTAAACGAAGTTAGTTTTCTTCTTTTTCCACTAAGGACTTCTCATAGCCTTTCTATGCTGATATGACACTCTGACTCCAGAAGACAAGTAGGGATGCTTCTAGAACATCTGGGGAGAGAAGGGCTTAGTGGCAAGAGTTGGCTTGCAGCATAACAGACTAGGATGTATTACATCTTTCATTTTGCACATTACGTTATTTACCCTGTATATTTTGGGGTGATCTGGGAGTGCTGATGGAGATAACAGGGATGTTAATACACTAAGCCACCCTTGGCATTATTATTGACGTGTAGCACTTCCACACCCCCATAGCCACAAAAACATTTTCAGTCTGTGTCAGAGGCATATATTTTAGGAAAAAACAACACAGAGAAATAGTGCCTCTCATCATGGTCTCTGCTTTCATCAGTGTGCTTAAAAATGCTTGTCCATATTTTCTGGTAGTTCATGGAGGCTTTTTTCCATTTAATGTTTTCATCTAGCTGACATGTATTTTTACACAGGATGTAAGAGAGAGATTCAGCTTATTTATATCTTTATTTTATATCGCAAAATACCAGTTGCCCCCAAACCTTGCACAAATTTGTTTTTTGTTTTATTTTTAGGTCCATAACACTTCAGATCAACTTACCAATAAGTTCACAATGTAAAACAGACCATTATGGCTGAAATGTAAACTAATGAGAGTTACTTCAATTTGCCTGCAGCCCTTACCCCCATTCCCACCTCCTCACAAGGTGTATTTTGAACACCACTGGAAAAACTCATCCCCTCATAAATGGCTTGAAATGCCCTCCTGTAATATGCTACATTAAAATGTTTATTTATCCCAATTATTTTTCTGTTTTTCTGCCAGTCCCATACTTTAATTAATTTATGGAGCCTCAGACCTTTTTAATGTGACAGAAGAAGAAATTGAAACATTTAATAAATAAAATAACATAAGATTTTGGGGGACCCATAAAATTAGCATATTTCTTTAAAATGTCTGTTATTGGTAAGAGTTGACCAAATCCCTTCAATATTTAGAAGATTAACTTGGTAAAACCATATACTGATATGTTACAAGTTTACAATGTTGATACTCTTTGACATACAAATCACTTATAAGATTTAACCCTAAAGAAATAGCAAGAAATGTATGGGAAAATTTTGCTGTTGTTTATATTATTGATAGTATTGAAAATGTTCCAAATTTTAACAATGCAGGACTGGTTAAATGAATCCTGCACAGCCATGAGCCGGGATACTCTAGCCATTACAGTGATGTCATAAAAAAGAAAAATACCTTATTGAGTGCTTGTGATGAATCTGGCACTGTACCAGTCACCTTGATTGTATTGTCTTAAGCCTAACAATATCCCTAGATGATAGGTATCATTATTCCCATTCATAGAAGAGAAAACATAGAACTTGAAACAGCTAGTGAAATAGTGTTGCTGGAATTCAACCAATGTCTGCTCTTTACCCTTGTTCTTTTTTTTTTTTTTTAAGATTTTTATTTATTTATTTGACAGAGAGAGATCACAAGTAGGCAGAGAGGCAGGCAGAGAGAGAGGAAGGGAAGCAGGTTCCCTGCTGAGCAGAGAGCCAGATGTGGGGCTCGATCCCAGGGTCCTGGGATCATGACCTGAGCCAAAGGCAGAGACTTTAACCCACTGAGCCACCCAGGCGCCCCAGCTCTTTATCCTTGTTCTTAATCACTGTCCTAATGATATGGGAAAATATTCACTATTTACTGATAAGCTATTGTTTTACAAACAATTTTTTTAAAAGTAGGTTCCACATCTAATGTAGGGTTTGAACTCCTGACCCTGAGATCAAGCAAGAGTCTCATGCTCTCTACCAACTGAGCTAGCCAGGTACCCCAAATGAAAATAGTCCCATTTTTAAAGCAATCTCTACACAACATGGGGCTCAAACTTACAAGCCCAAGATCAAGAGCCTCCCACTTTCCCAACTGAGCCAACCAGGTGCCCCTGATGATGAGCTATTGTTTTTTTGTTTGTTTTTCTTTAAAGATTTTATTTAATCATTTGAGAGAGAGAGCGTGAGAGAGAGCATGAGAGGAGAGAGGTCAGTGGGAGAAGCAGACTCCCTGCTGAGCAGGGAGCCCGATGTGGGACTCGATCCCGGGACTCCAGAATCATGACCCGAGCTGAAGGCAGTTGCCCAACCAACTGAGCCACCCAGGCGCCCCGAGCTATTGTTTTAATGTAGTTTAACTGACATTAAAATAAACAACAAGCAAAAAACGTCCTCCTATGTGAAATCCCTCTCCTAAGTTAGTTATGCTTAGTCATTTTTTTTTGCCCAAAATGAATTTACCTTTACACATGTTTTTTAAGTTGATTTTTGAAGTTTTAAGTGCCTGCTTTAAGAATTCAAACAGTACTGAATATTATAAAGTAGCTGTACCTTTAATCACAAATTATATATATGATTGGATATACTCACAGGCTCTTTTTTATGTTCCCTCAGTTCTGTCTCTTCTTGCTCTGGTGTCAGCTTTAGGCAAAGTGAGGAGAAGGATCTGTGAAGGTCTAGATGGCTAACTTTGAACACAGGAGAGTCCCTTACATGTGTAGCATGGTGGTTAGAAGTGCTGGTTCTGGAGCTCAGTTGGTTAGACTGAGTACCAGCTTTTGAATTTGAGCAGCTTGCTTGTCTTCTTTATACATCAGTGTCTTCATTAAATGAAGGTGGTCATTGAACCTACCTCGTAAGATCGTGGTGAGGATTAAACCAATTGGTGCACGTAAAGTGCTTAGGACAGTGCCTGGGACACAATAAATGTTCAACCATTAGCTACAATGGTTGTCGATGATGATGATGGTATGATGCATGCGTGCAGAGATGAGGAAGAGAAGAGAAATAACTCATGAGTGCTTACTATGTACCATATGCCTGCATGATCTCTCTATTTGATCCTTCTGAATTACATACTTTTATTCCCTTTTAATAAAGATGAGGAACCTAAAATTCAGGGTGGTTCTATATGGAAGGAATAGAATATATTATTAGACCCATTTCTAAGACTAAGGACATACAAATACCAAAAGCTGCCTGACTAGAAGGTAGAAAAATGTGGAGGAATGAGATGAGAAACAGGCCTGCAGAGTCATACCACCCTTTGGGGCCAAGGGGCAGTGTTCCAACATTCAGGACTGAGTGGGTATCTAACCCAATCTGTGGGTATCAGAAAACTGCTTTGAAAATCCAACTGCTTTTACACTGGTTGTATTTGCTGTAAATATTTTTTGTTTTCTTCTCCCTTTTTAGGTACCAAGATTATTTCTGAATAGCCAGTCTGTCTCAGTTTGTATTTTGAGGGAATAAAAAGGAAAAAGGAATCTTTGGGCACCTTCTGGAGCTTTCAGGTAGAACATGTCAGACACCAGGTGTCCTAGGCTTCAAATGCCAGAAGCCTAAGAGGGAAAAGAATGCAGGGAAAAAAATCCTCGAGGTGTCTGGGTGGCTCAGTTCATTAAGCATCTGCCTCTAGTTGGGCTCCCTGCTCAGCATGGGGCCTGCTTCTCCTTGTCCTCCCTGCTTATGTTTGTTCTATCTCTGTCGCTGTCTCTATCTCTCAAGTAAGTAACTAAAATCTAAGAAAGAAAGAAAGAAGGAAGGAAGGAAGGAAAGAAAGAAAGGAAAAGAAAGGAAGGAAGGAAAGAAAGGAAAGAAAAGGAAGAAAGAAAGAAAGAAAAAGGGAAAGAAAGAAAAAAATCCTCTTCCCCAGAGGCTTCTGGAGTGTTCTCTGCTCTAACCTTAGAAGCTTTTGAATAATGTTGCCTAGAGAACGGCCTTTTACTTACTCATCTGTCCAGCATGACTCATCCCTAAGAGTGCGGAGTAAGTGAAATTTTACAGTATTTATGTTTCTGTGACTTTTATAAACATGATGATGTGGAAAGAGCATGGACTTTGGAATTGGACAGGCCTAAACTTTGTCACCTGGTACTTGTGTCCTTGTGGGCTACTTAATATCTTCTCTGGGCTTGGGGTGTCTGGGTGGCTAGGTCAGTTAAGCATCTGCCTTTGGTTGGGTCATGATCCCAGGGTCCTGGGATCGAGCCCCACATCAGGCTTCTTGCTCAGCAGGGAGCCTACTTCTCCCTCTCCCTCTGCTCCTCCCCTTGCTTGTACTTGCTCTCTCTCAAATAAATAAATAAATAAATACTTAAAAAAAAAAACTTCTCTGCGAATCGTCATGTATAAAATAGGAATAATGAAAATCCATTTCAAAGAATTGGTGTGGACATGAAATGAGGCAGCAAAAATGAAAGTCTAACCTCTGGCACAAAGTATAAAGAATTACCCTGGGCACTCATGCCTTGCCTTTCTCTGTCAGACTGTGCGTTCAGAGTGAACATTTGGCCACATCTTGTATTTTTATACTTTACTACTATATCCCTATGCAGTGCTTTGTTTACAGTGAGCATCCTATAAATAGGGACTTGGCAACACTGGCATGCATGCACGGGAGTGGACTAATGGGTAAACAATTTTAGGTGTGTCCTAATGTTGATTAATCCATTTATCCTGTCAGAAAGAAAAACTGCCAAATGTCAATCAATGAGATGTGCAGTCAGGGCTGAAGAGTTGGGCAGGTTGTTCCTTGCACAGGGCCAGTGGCTCTGGGGGACAGTGGGCACCAAGCCCACGGCCCCTTCTACTTGCAGAGCCCCCTGAGAGCTCCTTGTTTCCGTTAACTCAAAGGCAGTCTTCTGTGGGTGAACCACAGCCTCATCTCTTCTGACACCTGGGGTTCCTCTTACAGACAACTTGTTTTGCTTGATTTAAATTGTTTTCTTTTTCTCTCTTAATTATTAAATGCTTAAAAGGTAAAAAAGATACTGTGATATTTATTTACCCATCCTTTGAGATGAGTAATTGTTATCACTTCTTTGAAACTATAACATAATTTCATACTTTTAGAAAAGTTGAAAAAAATATTAGAGTTTCCACACACCTTTCACAGTTTCCCAAGTGTTAATATTTTATCCACTTGCTTATCCTTAGCTCTCTAAATTACATATGCAGATTATGTTTTTGGACCATTTAGGAGAAATTTCCCTTCTTCCCACTTCATTCCTTTGTTCTTTCATTCCTTCCTTCCTTCATCTCAAATAAAACATATTACATAAAACTAATACTTCCTTGCTTCACCCACTCCCTTCTCTCCCTCCCTGCCTTTCCTTGCCTTTGTTAGGAAACCTGCTGTGTTACATGTTTTTGTCCCTCTACTACGTATGATTAGATCTACAGATACTGAACGTTCATTATTCGTTGAGACTTGCTTTGTGACTCAGTATATGATCACTTTTATGACTTTTCCTTATAACCTGAGAAAGAATATGTACTCTTTAAATGAGCCAAAGGGCACCTGGGTGGCTCAGTGGGTTAAAGCCTCTGCCTTTGGCTCAGGTCATGATCACAGGGTCCAGGGATCGAGCCCCACACAGGCTCTCTGCTCAGCGGGGAGCCTGCTTCCTCCTTTCTCTGCCTCCTTGTGATCTCTGTCTGTCAAATAAATAAAAATCTTAAAAAATTAAAAAAATTTTAAAAAAGTAAATGAGCCAATAGCGGGGTGCCTGCGTGGCTCAGTCAGTTAAGGGGCTGCCGAGCTCAGATCAGGATCTTAGGGTTCTGGGATCTCAGGGTTCTGGAGTTGAGCCCAGCAGTAGGTCCTTTGCTCAGTGGGGGGCCTCCTTCTCCCTCTGCCTCTCCCCCTGGCTTGTGCTCTCTTTCTCACTCACTCTCTCTCTCAAATAAATAAGTAAAATCTTAAAAAAAAAATAAATGAGCCAGTAGTTATAAACCACTTGCAACAGTGCCTCACACATCATAAGCCCTGTGTGGTATTAAATTTTTAAGACAGTGTACAGTTATATATAAATCCACTGGCTAAAATTTGTTAAGCGTCTTGTTCAAATTTTGTATACCCGATCCCTCAACTCTCAGAGAAGTTTGCTAAAATCTCCCTGTGATCGTGGATCTATATATTTTTGCATGTATTCTGCCAGCCTTTGCTTGCTGGCTTAGAAGTGAGAGATTCTGGTCAGTTGTCAGCGTCCCTCCTGTTAGTGTTTCATTGCACAGCGGAGAACTAGGATGGAAGTCAGGGCACTGACTGAAGGGAAAAGGCATCATGGGGAAATGGAAGTTTATGAATCCAAACACGCAGAGAATCACAGTGGTGGTGACATCTCTTTTTTGTAATCTTTTGCTCTGCAGCCTAATCATCATTTGCTACACCCTGATATTTCTCCTCCCAAATGCCCCGACCATGCGTTGCACCATCTCACCCCACTCCCTCCCCCACCATCCCTCAATCGTAATTCTTCTGAAGTTTAAGCCAATTTGGGGGATAATATTCTCCAAATGCCCTCTCCAATATTTCAAAACTAAATTTCAACATTTCGATGATATTTATGGGACTGGAAGCTGGGGAAGAAATGTTCCTTAACTGATTAATTGAAAATCGGATATTGTTGACTATATTACGATAAACAGAATATGCATGGAGAGTGGGAAAACAGACATGAAATAAATAAAACCAAGTAAGCTGTGAAAATTGCTAAAAGAGAAAAGAACTGTTTCTGTAAGGAAGAAAATAGTGGGCGGGAGCGTGTCCTGTGATGTTTTGTGGAAGGACGTTCCAAGAGGAGTCACCAGCTCTGAGAAGGTTGTGGCCAGAACTGAACATGGCAGCTGAAGGGCTGAAAAAAGCCAGCAGGGCTGGATCCTAGTGAGTAGCTGAGATCCCTCAGGAGAGGCACCGGCTAGTTCACGGAGGGCTGTATGAGCCATGTCAGAGCTTTTGATTTTATCCCGAGAACTGGAATGCATTGAAAGGTGTTAAGCAGAGAAGGAGGTGACCACATTTATGGTTTTAAATATAGCTCTAGCTAGAAGGTGGAGAATGACTGCAGAAGATCAAGAATGGAAGCAGGGATACCATTCATAGCAACTTTTGCAAATGGGGCTTTTGGTGAGCTCAGAATATGTCTCCCTCTTCTCAGAGAGTTTACCATAACCACAACAGCAAGTGAAACAGACTTTAACTTCATTTGTAAAGGATCCTTCCTACAGTTTGTGGTGACCATCATAGACTGTTTATAGGTCTGGAAGATAGAGTTATAACCACAACTCTACCTCCAATTTAAATTTTGCAGGTGTTTTGTGAGAACTTTTTATTTTGAAAAATTTAACTTTCATTTAAAATGTACAATTAAGGGGCGCCTGGGTGGCTCAGTGGGTTAAAGCCTCTGCCTTCGGCTCAGGTCATGATCTCAAGGTCCTGGGATCAAGCCCCACATCAGGCTCTCTGCTCAGCGGTGAGCTTGCTTCCCCCTCTCTCTCTGCCTGCCTCTCTGCCTACTTGTGATCTCTCTCTCTGTCAAATAAATAAATTAAATCTTTAAAAAAATGTACAATTAATTCCCATTACCTTGGAAATTACTTACTCAATGATTGTCAAGTTTGCTGACATTTACTTCATCTGTCACTTTTTTTTCCTCCTTTGTAAAATTATTTAAAAGCAAATCCCAAATATATAATTTTGTCCCTTCATATTAAGGATCCATCTCCAAAATATGAACATTTTCTTACATACTACAAAGCCATAGTCATAAAATTAACAATTTATTGCTAACATCTAATGCCAATTTCATAACCAAATTTCTTTAATGTCTCAAAAATGTCTTTTCATAGTTGGTTTGTTCAAATCAGAATCTAAATAAGACCTGCGCAACGCACTTGGTTGTTAGATCTTTTAAGTCTCTTAATCCACGTTACTGCTTTTTCTTTTTTTTCTCCTTTTTTCTTCTTTTTTTCCTTTTTAAAATTTATGTTATTGACTTGTAGAAACTGGATTAATCCTGTAAAATGTCTAACTATTTTATAATAAAAACTGTTTTTTAAAAAACAAGATAAAATATGGGGTTTGAGCCTTTAAACTTCCAGTAAGTCAGACCATCTCTCTGGAATGTTCTTTGAAGTGTCTGGCATACAACACAGTTGGTGAACCATAAACACTCACCACACTTGGCACGCACATGCAAGCTGTTAAATAAGAGTGCTTGTGCTTAATGTTTTAATTTTATCACTCAGTATTCTCAGGTTCTTGACCTGCTTACTCACTGTGATTTGTCTACTGTTATTAAATTAACAGAATCTGAAAATAGCAGTTTCTCAAATGTTTTCAAAAGCAATTAAGATAATGCTTCAGTTTGCTAACCTCAGCCCCTTTCACTTCAGAAATTAGAAAATTAAAAATAGTTGAACTGGCATTAATAAAAAGCCAGGTTTTTTTCCACTTCTAGGATGCACAGAAAAAGCAGTGGCCAAACAATGCATGTTTCCTTCACCTCACTGTTGGTCTCTCCGAGAAGGATGACTTTGATTTCTTCACTATAATTAGCCTCTGTAGCCAATGGCAGAGTCTTATTATCTGCAGTAAGTAGAACTAGATCACTAGTTCTTTTGGCTTTGCTGTTTCAACAGGTTATAGTGCATACATATAATTGACAATACTATGGTTATATAAAATGTTGGCATAGCGAAAACTGGATAAAGAGTAATGGGAACTCTGTACTATCTTTACAACTCCTCCAAATATAAAATTATTTCAAAGTAAGACTTTTTTTTTTTTTTAAGAGAGGGAGAGAGGGGTGGGGAGGGGTGGAGAGAGAATTGTAAGCCCAGTGGAGAGAGAATTGTAAACTTCATACCCAGTGTGGAGCCCAACGTGGGGCTTGATCCCATGACCCCAAAATCATGACCTGAACAGTGATCAAGAGTTGGATGCTTAACTGACTGAACCACCCAGGTGCTCCAAGATGTTTTAAAATATTAATTTCCTCTTCTAAATGATGATCTTAAGGAAGTACATGGTTATTCCATTAATGATATCATTGCTTTAATTATTTTTGAAGCCTCTTTTTTGGAACTAAAATCAAAGGTCATAAAACTGGAAGATTGTAAGAGATCTGAGGTATTATCTAGTCCAATCTCCCAGCCATTCCAGAGAATCCTGTTATGTACCATAAATTATTAACCATTCCCCTAGTGGCTAATATGTAGGTTGTGTCCCAAATTGTCCTCTTTACAAAGTTTATTGTACATATACCATTTTTGTACCCATATCTTTGGACACATTAGGGATATTTTAGTACTCTATATTTCAAAAAGTAGAATTACTGGGTCAAAGGAAACACACGTTTAAAACATCGATTAAGTCCTTCCAATTTGCCATCAAAAAAAGCCGTATGCTTCTACCAACAATGTGTGGGTATATACTGACATAGGTTGCTAGCAATCTTTTCTATTTTTCCTATTCTAATAGGGGGCCTGGTAAGTTTGGGGCAATGGGAGCAGCCTGCCCCTATGGGGAAGAATATTCTACCAATGGCATATTTTAGACTTAGCATGATGATATGTTTATTATTTTGAAAATTCTCTACAAACAGTGCGCCTCCTGACTGCTTGCCCTCCTTCCTGCTGACTGTTCACCCACCCATTCCTACTTGGTGTACTGCTGCTGATAGGTAAAGAAGCCATCTTGTTTAATTAGTAGTGAGGTTGAACACACGCTTATTTGCTCAGCAATGTGTATGCCTTCTGGTGTGTTTTATTTTTTATTTTCCTTTTCTTATTTTAAAAGAACCCTTTGTATATAATGAATAACAACCCTTTATTGCCCAGTCTGCAATTGTTCTGCTGTGTGTCACTCATCCTTTAACTTTACAGTCTCTTTTGCTATATGAAAGTTACGGTGGTGTTGGAGGAAGATACAAGTAAGATTTATTTATTTATTTGGGAGAGAGAGAGAGAGAGTGAGCGAGCAGGAGGAAGGGCAGAGGGAGAGGAAGAGAAAATCCTCAAGCAGACTCCCTGCTGAGTGTGGAGCCCGATGCGGGGCTTGATCCTAGGACCCTGAGATGGTGACCTGAGCTGAAATCAGGAGTCTGGCCACTTAACTGACTGAGCCACCCAGGTGCCCAAAGTGAGGGTTTTTGGTTTTTTTTTAAGATTTTATTTACTTATTTGACAGACAGATCACAAGTAGGCAGAGAGGCAGGCAGAGAGAGAGGGTGAAGCAGGCTCCCCACTGAGCAGAGAGCCCAATGTGGGGATCGATCCCAGGACTCAGGAATCATGACCTGAGCCGAAGGCAGAGGCTTTAACCCACTGAGCCACCCAGGCGCCCCATCCAGCCATCATTTTCTGATCAGTCCCACACTGTCCTATTTACTATATAGTTTCATAGTTCTTTCAGTGTCTTGTAAGCAACTCTTATTTTGTTACTGTTGTTTTTCAAAACCTTCTTGGCTGTTTTGAAACATCTAGTTTTCCAGACAAACTAGAGAATCAACTTTTAAATTTAAAAAATTCCACTGGGATTTTGATAAAAATTATATTTTATTTATAGATCAATACGGGGAGAATTGATTTTAAAAAATGTTGAGGCTTCTTATCCATACATGACTCTCCATTTACAAAGACTTTATATGTCATTTGGTAAAACATAATTTTTAATGGGTTTTGAATATTTTTTATTAATTTTATTTCTAGGTATTTTATTGTTGTGATTATTACAAATATGTCATTTTTCCATTTTATTTTTGAACTGGCTCTTCCTGATACATAGTAAAGCTATGATTTTTATATATTCCTTTTGTACTTAGTATCTTGTATTACTATACTTTGTTTACTTAACTCTTCCTTATTTCTTGGTATTAGGTTGTTCCCAAGTTCTGATGGTCATAATTAGCATTGCTATAAACATCTCTAATCAGGTAATTTTTTTCCCTTTAAATTTCTTCCCACACATGGGAAACATCTGTTTTACATGTTTTACATGGGTAAAACAGATTTAAAAGGTCTATGAAACTTTATGGCTCTTAGTACATATTTCTATGCGTAATCTCCTGAGGGGCTAGCCCCCCCTTTCCAATCCTGCCTGTAATAACATCAGCAAATCAAGTAACAACGATGAAGATAATGACAGTGACAATGATGAGACCAAGTGGTGAGAGCCTGTGCTTTCCATGACTTTTCTCATTTAATACTCACAATGAATCTATAATATGCTATTGCTGTAACATATGAACAGATAAGGAAACTTAGGTGCAGAGAGAGAGAGGGTAAAATCTGCACTCATAGCTGGTAGGAGCCAAAGTCAGATGTGTGGTGTTCCATGGTCAAAGCCTTCTTCCTATGTCTTCTCCAAGACCCATTCTTTTTATTTTTCATTTATATTTGAGACTTTAAAAGGTATGTGAGGGGCACCTGGGTGGCTCAGAGGGTTAAGCCTCTGCCTTCAGCTCAGGTCATGGTCTCAGGGTCCTGGGATTGAGCCCCGAATAGGGCTCCCTGCTCAGCAGGGTGCCTGCTCCCCACCCCACCACTGCTAGCCTCTCTGCCTACTTGTAATCTCTCTCTCTCTCTGTCAAATAAATAAATAAAATCTTCAAAAAAAAATAAATAAATAAAAGGTATGTAGGCCTGAAAGTTGTTTCACTTGGCATTTCTTAACCATTAAGTAGGTTGTTAGGTAACACATGTTAAAACTCTTTATCATCTCCTTTGACCACTTATCCAATAGACTGGTGATGTTAATTATATATTTGTAAGAACTCTCTCTATAAATTGGAATGAAAGTTTTAGAAGATTATATTTTTTCCCCACACCTTTACAAATATTCTTGGGTTTTATTGCCCATCAATTCTTCCTTCCTCTATTCTAATTTATGTCTTCTGTAAATTCTTCTTATCAGAAAATTCCATTACCAGCATGGAGAATATTAAGTAGATGGAACACTCTTATTTCATTCGTACAGTAGTAGTAGTAGTAGTAGTAGTAGTTAATAATAATAACTGAGTGCTTATCAAGTGCTAAGGATATAATACACATAATCTTAATCAATTCTATAATCCAATAAGATATTATCTTTGTTTTACAGATGAAAAAATAGGCTCAGATTCATCAACTCAGCCAAGGGCACACAGTTAATAAAAGGAAGTCCTGTCTGTTACAAAGCCAATGTTCCTAAGAATAATACTGCTGGCCTTCCATTATGTAGGGAATAAAATTGACTCTCTTTGAGAAAAAAAAAAATTCTTTATCATGCTAAGAAATCTTCCATACCAATTTATTTCTTTTTAAAATTTTGACTGAATGGGTTTCTTAATTGAGCTGTAATTGACATATAACATATTAGTTTCATGTTTACAACATAATGATTTAACATTTATATATATTGTGAAATGATCACCACAATAAGTCTAGTTAACATCCGTCACCACACCTAGTTACAAAAGCTCATACCAATTTCTTACAAGCTTTAGATCAGAGATTTTTAATTTAATTAAATATGTTCTTGACATTAACTTATGGTTTTTTTTTTTAAGATTTATTTATCAGAGAGAGAGAGAGAGAGAGAGAGAGAGAGCACAAGCAGGGGGAGTGGCAGGCAGAGGGAAAAGCATGTTTCCTGCTGAACAAGGAGCCTGATGGGGGGATGGATCCCATGATCCTGGGAATCATGACCTAAACCAAAGGCAGATGCTTAATCAACTGAGTCACCCAGGTGTCCCTGTTTTCTGTTTGTTTGTTTTTTTTAAGATTTTATTTATTTATTTGACAGAGATCACAAGTAGGCAGAGAGGCAGGCAGAGAGAGGAGGAAGGCTCCCTGACAAGGCAGAGAGCCCGATGCGGGACTTGATCCCAGGACCCTGAGATTATGATCTGAGCCAAAGGCAGAGGCTTAGCCCACTGAGCCACCCAGGCACCCATCCCTGTTCTTAATATTTACAAAGAACCTTACATTTCTCTTGCCTAGTCTAGCTTCTGCTTCTTGTGGTCTCTGGGCATTGCCACTCTGGTCTCCAGGGGGCACTGTTTCCCCTTTAATCAAGCATTTGACACCTAATTCCTCTAGGTACCAGTAAGACTGGGGAAAGTATTTAAACAAAGTTTACAAAGGATTCAGATGAACAGAAGGCAAATGAGGACAGAAAATAATATACAACCAGATAATCTGGTTCACTGAATGCAGAGTAGGCATTTCAGTATTTGACACAACCTACCTAGCTTCCTACTGCATGCACAGAGCAGAAACCTTTTTTTTCTATCCTGCACTATGTCCTCAAGCAAGCAAAATTCTTCAAAAACTGGCTCTGAGATTGGTCAGGCTAGTTCCAGCTTAGGGCTTCCTTCCAAATTCTAGTTTCTAGTTTCAGCATATGCCTCTCCCTACATACTAGACACTAAGCGTGTCAGCCCTCTTCTGGGAAGAAGGCATCGTCTTCCTGGTTTGTAGCTTTACCCTATTGTTTGGGAATAGTTATTTATGGGTCTCTCATACCCCTTCACGTCTTGGCCAATATGCCAAGAGTGCAAGGCCCTCACAGCTCATATTACATAACTATCACTGCATAACAGAAGACTCCAAAACACAGAGGCTTCAAACAACAAACACTTTTTTTTTTGACAGTTTCTGTTGACTAGGAATCTGGGTATAGCTTAGCTGGGAGCCCTTGGCCTCAGAGTCTCTGATAAGGCTACAGTCAAGGGATTGGCCAGGGTGCAGTCATCCCCAATCTTGAATAAGGGAGATTCTGCTTCCAAGGTCACTCAACACAGCTGTTGGCAGGCTTCAGGTTCTTACTCACTGTTGGCCAAAGACATCCTTTCCTTGCTGTGCAGTTCTCTCTGTGTGGCAGCTTACAACGTAACTGTCTGCCCTCAGAGTTAGTGAGAGAGAACATGAGAGGGTGCCCAAGATAGAAGCCACAGTCTTTTTATAACCTCAGCTCAGAAGCAACATCCTGTCATTTGTGCTGTATTAAATTAGGTGGAAATGAGTCAATAAATCTAGCCCATAGTCTGCTGGAGGTGATTACACAAAGGAGTGAAGACCAGGAGGCAAGAACCATTATGGGCCATGTTAGAGGCCTTCTACCACATCACTTTTTACCCAAGCCATTTCTCATGTTTATGTGTGCAGCAACCAATTTTTTTTTTTTTTTTTTAAGTAATCTATATGGTCAACATGGGGCTCAAACTCATAACTGCAAGATCAAGAATAGCATGCCCTACTGACTGAGCCTGCCAGGTGCCCCTACAGCAGCAATCTTTTTTTTTTTTTAAAGATTTTATTTATTTGACAGAGATCACAAGTAGGCAGAGAGGCAGGCAGAGAGAGAGAGGAAGGGAAGCAGGCTCCCCGCCCAGCAGAGACCCCAAGGCGGGGCTCAATCCCAGGACCCTGGGATCATGACCTGAGCCAAAGGCAGAGGCTTTAACCCACTGAGCCACCCAGGCACCCCTACAGCAGCACTCTTGAGAAATAAAGTAACATCTCCCTCTGGGACAAAGAAACTGACTTAGCTTTTTGCTTGCTGGAAAAGCAATGGGTTCCCCAAGCTCACCGTTCCCCCACTGAACCCAAAGTCACTGCATGTGTGGCCTCTATCTGGGCTCCTTGGTGTTAACGCTGGTGGAACTTGGGGGTAAGAGGAATTGATATGAACAATTCGTGTTTTTTATCCTGTGCTGTGGGTGAAACAGTTTTTTCTTTCTGACTCAGATGTCTCACATCTTCTTTCAACATCCGTGAAACAGAAAAGGCTAACTTACTGGCTTGTAAGTGGGATAAAATCAAATTGCAGACCTGACAGTTTGACTCAACAGCACAATTCAGAATTCTATACAGGCCTGGGAGACCAGCATTCATACAAGAGATCCATGTATGTATTATTCATTTTATTCAACACTTACATGCCAGGTAATTATTCTAAGAGTTTACGAATATAAACTCTTTTAATCTATGGGGTAGAGACTATTAAAAATTCCTGCTTTACAGATGAGGAAGAAGAGGCCCGAAGATGTTGAGTAACTTGCTCCAAATTATACTGCTCATAAATGTCAGAGGCTCATTATTCAAACAGAAACAACACAGACAGTCTGGTTACACATCCGTTGATCCAGTGTATCATGCTAACTGTTCTGAGTTGGGAAGGGGTGGAGCAGGGAGAAGATGGGGGGAAGGACCAAATAGTTAATTCCTCAAAGCATTTGTTGAAATCATCAATTTAGAGTTTCTTATTCCTAACATAGTAACATATTGTCTTGTTTCAAAGGATATTCAAAGGATAAACTCTACCAGTCATATTGATAAATGCTTTGATTTCATGTGTTATATTTGACTTCTTAGGAATTGATTTAGAACACTTGTTCTGTATGCAGAATATGAAGGTTAAAATGAACTGTCTGGGCAAAAATATGAACATGGAGTTTATAACAGCTTTATTCATAAGTGCCAAAACATGGAAGCAAACAAGATGTCCTTCAGTAGGTGAATGGATAAACTGTGGTAATCCATACAACAGAAAATTGTTTAATGCTAAAAAAAAATGAGCTATTAAGCCATGAAAAGATGGGGGAGAGGCCTTAATGTATATCACTAATTAAATGAAGCCATTCTGAAAATGTTACATACTGTTTGATTCCAACTATATGACAGTCTGGAAAAGGCAAATCTATGGAGATAGTAAAAAGATCAGTGGATGCCAGGGGTTGGGAGGAAGGGAGGGATAAATAGAGCTCAGAGGATGTCAGGGCAGTGAAAATCTTCTGCATGATACTATAATGGTGAAAACATGTTATTAGACATTTGTCCAAGCCCATGGAATATGTAACAATGAGAGTGAACTCTAGTGTAAATTACAGACTTTGAATGACAACGATGTGTCAATGTAGGTTCATCCATAACCATGGAAGTACCACTCTGGTTGGGGAGGGGGTGCATGTGTGGGGGCAGGGGTTATCCGAGATCTCTCTACTTTCTGCTCAGTGTTGCTAAGAACCTAAAACTGTTCTAAAAAATAAAGTCTATTTTAAAAAATGCTTTGAAAATGACAGCGTACTTTAAATTATAAAATATTATGAATAGTGTAAGCATGTGTAGGAAGTTTTTGTTAACATCTTTCTCTACCTGTCCACGTCCCCCATGCCCTTGACCTCATCTTCCTGCCTGTTACCTCCTCCTTTCCTTAGCAAGTGTAAATAGCTTGGCCCCCACTTGGCTTCTCTTCCTCTGTTCCACTGTCCTTCTCTTGAACCTTCCCAACCCAGGTTCAAGCCCACTGTCTGTCATCTTCGTGGCTTTAGCATGGCCGCAGAGCTCAGCGTCAGAAAAACCACAACGGTGAAGATGAAATGTATTGTACAACTGCCATTCTCCTCCATCAGCTTATCCCTCAGTGTTTCCTGCAACTGTTTCTGTGTTTCTTAAACCAGAGCTTTGTGCTTAAAATATGTATTGGTAAGTTTTTTTTTTTTTTTTTTTAAAGATTTTATTTAATTATTTTGTCAGAGAGAGAGAGGGAGAGAGAGCAAGCACAGGCAGACAGAATGGCAGGCAGAGGCAGAGGGAGAAGCAGGCTCCCTGATGAGCAAGGAGCCCGATGCGGGACTCAATCCCAGGACGCTGGGATCATGACCTGAGCCGAAGGCAGCTGCTTAACCAACTGAGCCACCCAGGCGTCCCTGTATCGGTAAGTTTTAAGTGTAGTTTGCTTTACTGATATTGTACGGTTTTGAATACATTTTTCAAAGTCTTTGGCCCTTTCTTCCTACTTACTCTACAGATATTATGTGTCAGCTTTTTTGCATTTTTATAAAATTGGATTTATGCTATTAATTAAGCTGTTTTCTATTAAAATAATCCGACTTCTAATGAGCATGCATATCTATCAATGATGATTCACCCAAAAATGCTTAAATGCAAAAATGCATTAGCAAACCCGGGGGGTTGATGTGTTTAGAGTTGCTTTAATTATTGGTGTCTTTAAGAAGATTCTGTGGAAAAGTTGAGTCATACTCCCTTCTCCAATGTGCCCTGGAATAAGCCTCCCTTTTTCTTAGATTAGGGTATCTCTTCCCTTAATGAGCTCAATCGAAAGCTAATTCAATCCTTTCCACATCTCTTTTAGCAAGACTACAGACCGCTCCCTGGGTCCTAGGGATCAATGCTAGTGGTCTCAAATTGGTAGCCCGTGGGGCAAATTTCCTTGATCGATGTGGCTCATTTGGCCTGCACAGTGTTTTAAGAAAACCTGAATTTGTTCTTAGCATTTTGCAATTATGCCATTTCACATCAAAATGTATATTGTGAGCTTTTTTTTTTAAGATTTTTTAATTATTTGAGAAAGAGAGAGAGCGCGCGAGAGAGAGCATAAGAGGGGATATGGTCAGAGGGAGAAGCAGACTCCCTGCTGAGCAGGGAGCCAGAGGAGGGACTTGATGTGGGACTTGATCGAGACTCTAGGATCATGACTTGAGCCAAAGGCAGTCACTCAACCAACTGAGCCATCCAGGTGCCCATATTGCTAGCTTTTATAGAAAAAGTAATAGATCGGGCAACATTGGGCCCATGTGCTAACATGGCAACAGCTGGTAGCAGCCATCAGCTGTCCCTTTAAAGAGGGCATGCACCTCTTGCCTCTCATGAAGACTGCCAGTCAGTTACCATTTATCATCTCACTTTCACCTCTTCTGACACTTAGGTGCCTTCTCTCAGGTGCCTTCCTGGTGCTTTAGGCATTTAGTCTGTAAACTCTTCTACATCTAGTCCTTGCTGCCTTTCAACCAGCACCACCCATTGACATGGAAGGCTCTGTGGTGCTTTAAAAAGACCATGGGCTTCAAATCAAATGGACTCATTTCTGCCACTTACCTGCTGTGTGACCTGGCTAGGGTTATTTCACCTCTTTGAATTTCTGTTCCTTTATCTATATAAAAAAAGGGGGGGATAATGATGGTGTGGTTATGTGGATTAAAGGCAATAATGGGAGCACCTGGGTGGCTCAGTCGGTCAATCTTGATTTTGGCTCAAGTCATGGTCTCAGAGTCGTGAAACTGAGCCCTGCGTTGGGCTCCACACCCAGTGGGGAATCTGAGATTCACTCTCTCCATCTCCATCTGCCCTTTCTCCCCCCATCACTTGTGTGCGCAAGTGCTTGCTCTCTCTCTAAAATAAATAAATCTCAAAAAAATAAATAAAGGCAAAAATGTACGTAATGTGCTTCTGAGAGAGCCAAGAAGAGGCAGGAAATACTCAGTGAGTTTGGCCTGCCTCTGAGCTTACCTCTCAGGAGATGACAGGGCTAATCCTGTAAGTCTCTAGCATGGTCAGTTCATAACTAATTCGTATGATACTCTCAGGTGATACTATGATACTCTAGGTACAAATAAAAATATAAGAAACTAGGGACACTTGGCTGGCTCAGTTGGTAGAGCATGTGACTCTTGATCTTGGGGTCATGAGTTTGAGTCTCATGTGGGGAACAGAATTTAGTGAAAAAATAAAATTTTAAAAAATTATAAATAAGTAAAATATAAGAGGCCAGATAGTACTTAGGTAAAATTTATATTCTATAATTGTCATCTGTCATCATTGAGGAACCATAATAGGTTAAGTTGTTAGCCAACAGCAACTTCTATTGCTTGGAGAATAATCCTATGGCATGGTAAATTGATCTCTTGCAATTAGAAAGAAAACAAAAATGAAAACATTGTGAGTTGGCATGTTTTCCAAAACATTGGGGGGGTGGTGGTGGACAATTCTCTATATGCCACACTCGCTCTCCTGATTTATCTATATACCTATCTTGCTTTTTATATGTTGCTGTAGCAAATTACCACATACTTAGAGACTTAAAACAACACAAGTGTGTTATAGCTCTCTAGGTTTGAACTCTGACATTGGTGGCACTGAGCTAAAATCAGTGTGTCAGCAGGGCTACACTTTTTTTGCCCTTTCCAACTTCTAGAGGCCACCCACATTCCATAGCTCAAGGCCCGTTTCTCCATCTTCAAAGCCAGCAATGTTGTATCCCTCCAACCATCCTTCCATAGTGACATCTTTTTCTCTAACTCTTCTTTTGCCTTCGTCCTCTTCACTTTCAAAGACCCTTGTGATCACCTTGGACCCACTCAGAAAATCCAGAATATTCTTCCTATCTTAAGGCCAACTGAGTGGCAACCTTAATTCTATCAGCAACCTTAATTCTATTTTAAAATTAATTTTTATAAATTGAGATATAATTAACATATGACATCGTATTATTTTCAGGTGTGCAGCATAATGATTCGATATCTGTATATACTGCTAAGTGATCACCGCAAGTCTGGTTTAACATCCACCACCACACATAGTTATAATGTCTTTTTTGTTATAGAAATTTGAAGATCTAATCTCTTAGCAACTTTCAGATATACAATACAGCATTATTAACTATAGTCACCATACTGTGCATTACATCCCATGACTTATTTAATTTATAACTGGAAACTTGTACCTTTTGACCACCTGCACTCATTTTACCTACCCCCCTCCGCTCCCAACCCTGCTTCTGGAAGCCACCAATCTGTTCTCTGTTACCTGAGTTCATTTTTGTTTCGTTTTAGATTCCATACACAAGTAAAAATCTATAGTATTTGTCATTTCTTGTGTGACTTAATTCACTTAGCATAATGGCTTCTAAGTCCATCCATACTGTCCACAAAATTCTTTGCCATGTAATATAACATACTTAGTTTAAGATTCCAGGGAGTAGGACATGGGTATCTTTTGGAGGCCATCATTCTGCCTACCGTAACAAGTAGGTACATCACTATGAATTTTATCTTACCTAATCTTCACAACAACCTTATGAAGTAGGAACTATGTTTACAAATTAGAAAACGTAGGAAATGTGCTTTGGTCCAGAGCTTGTAAGCAGCAGTGAGATTCAAACTGAGAAATATTTTCCTCTAAAGCCATGTGCTTAGTCAGTACACTATACTGAAATTTGTTCAAATGGTATTTTCTATTTTCTTTTCCAATTAAAAAATTTTTAAAGATTTTATTTATTTATTTATTTATTTATTTATGTGAGGGGAGGAGGGGGGCAGAGGTAGAGAATCTCAAGCAGACTCCACACTGAACATAGAGCCCAACGTGGAGCTCCATCCCACGACCCCAAGATCATGATCAGAACTGAAATCAAGAGTTGGATATTTAACTGACTGAGCCACCCAGGTGCCCCTCTATTTTCTGTGAAAATGATTATTATAGTGAAAATTGGATTTTGGTGGGGCAGTGGGTTAGCCCAAGGAGTATATACGTATTAGTTAAAATTCAAATAAAAATATTTTCTCGGGATTGCCTTAATGTGCTGCTTA